TCAGGTGTATCTCGCCGCACATTTGCAGAAGAGTGCGGATCAATCCCAAGGGATCCATAACGGGGATTTACGATAATTGTCGGATGCCGCGTGTAATTTCAAGCTTAATAGAAAGACCGCCGTCGTTCTTTCTCTTTGCCGTCCAATCCGCTGCCGCGGAATCCTCACCGTGGAAAATCACAATAGGAGAGGCAGTCCATCTACCAGTTGGTATTCACGTTAGTCAGGCTGCATCGACACCTTTCGATTGTATTGCCGCAGCTTCCCGTGAAATCGTCTTTAATCAGATGGTCCGAAGTCGATCGCGCGATTAATCGCGATTGTGCACCGCAACTCGCGTCAAATAAAAACATCTCACCGATCGCATAGCTGCGATTCATGAGAAATTCTGTGAGTGAAAAAAACGTAGCAGCATACAGATATTTTACGGCAAGTGGTATTTTTTTAAATCATATCTTGATTTTCTCAATTAATCAGAATTGATTTTGATGAATTAAAATGAATTAAAATGTGTACAAGTAGTGTTTCGAGAAATATATTAGCGTTTATAAAAATGGAACTATAATTTCTCACACACCAGATGTTATAATAACAATCTAAGTAGGATACGTTTCATCGTTTGAAAGATCACGCGCCTACTTCCGGGTTGATCTCAATCGCGGCTCATCGAACGTCATGATTGGGAGAAGCGTCAGCTGTGCTCGTGGAAAGTCTGAAGAATCGCGCAAGAAATCGCGCGGCAGTAATCGCTTTGTAGATTAGAACGTAACCGAGATGTAAAATTCTCTCTCTCTCTCTTTCTCTCTTGGGTTCGCATTTTCTCGGATTTTTTTTCCGTGCGCGATGGCCAATTCGTCGCTTTACGAGGTACACACCGAGAGTGCCGCTGATGTTTTTTAAATTAAATTTTTTTTTTAAATTAACCGAGCACGCGGAAGAGTATCGCCGTGAGGACACACGCGAATTAACGCAAGCGTAATCTCGGGATCGCTTTCGGGGAATTTTTTTCGACGTCAGGCATCGCGCGTTATAACGGTAATTCCGCGGGGACTGTAATTGAAAGAGAGCAACACGGCGGCGGCGGCGCTTAATTGCACTAGGTCGAAATCATCGAGAGAGAGAGAACGATGGATGGCGCGGGAACCCTCTCTTCTCTACCGCGGCCCGTTCTTCGAAAGTCGTTTATAAGAGAGAGGGCCAGGAGAGGAGGTGACCCCCGGTAACTCCGGGTCGGAGCGAGGATCCTAAGCTCCCATTATTCGTCGGGTTGGACCGAAATTGTCGATCGTTACGGAAGCGTGGATTTGCTTGCTTGCCTCTCCTCTCGCCGACGAACGCACGCATCATACTTTAACCCGGCAATTTACATTTGATATTTATAATTTAATCATTTTCGCGATGATTGTGCTCTCGGGCTCTTTCCTCGAGATATTATGGCGAAACGACGGGATAACTTTGAGAGAAATAAGTTGTAATTATTTTTATTTTAACACGCGCTGTCTTCTAAAAAGAAAATATAAATTTTTAGCAAAAGTTCAAATTGCCTATGTACGATATTTCAGGATTCTCTTGGTTATTTTGTGTTGCTCGATTATTTTAAAAATTCGATAGTATTCAATGAATTAATATAATGTAATTCGCAAGTTTGCAGATATATCTACAATCATACATATCTACAATTCAATGGAATGCTAAAATTCTGCATATATATCGACGCGTTTTCAGAACGAATGAATGACTGAACAATCATATCATTCATGCAAAAAGAAATGCCCGCATAGAATATGACATTAACATACTACATAATTGCAACATTAACATATATTCCTGATGCAATGTAATGATGACGTGTGTGACAAGTACAATCCGTGGGCAGAATACAAATTATATATTTCATACAAGCTCAAATTGTACGTTAAGTATAAAATTAATTTTTAAAAATATGTAGAATGTGTTGCTAGATTAAAAAAAAACAGTCATTATAAATATCATAGAGAAATATTTTATAATTTGCAGCAATGATCAAGATTGCGTGATACATATTGTCGTTTCTGAACAAAGCTAACTGAGAAAATAATACGAGAGGGACACAGAGGAAAAATTATAAAGCAAGTGACAGGGCAACATCCGGAAAAAGCCATATTTATGGCGTAAGTATGTGCTCCCCTGGCTGAGAACAAGGAGAAGGATGTAGCGTCGCGCTCTCATATCCTTGTGCAATTCGCGGAGAATCGTGCTATAAGATAAGAGTAGTCCCCCGACACGTTACATATAGTGGTACACAAAAATGATTACGAGGACAATATGAATTGTTGTCGTAAGAGGTTGATTAAAAGCGTATTTCGATTACTGTCGGATTGAACTTTTTGCTATTATATAAAACTTGATTGCATTTTTAATTAATCTTTATACGTAAAGTGGAACATAATATAATTTATATCGATTCTCTGAAGAACTAAAGGTTGTTTTTCCCCGGTAACAGCTTGATGGTTTTATTTACAGCTGTTTAATGTTTGATTAAAAAGTAAATTCAATTAATTTATAATTAAAGTTTGACATGTGGATCAAATGCTAATTTTATAAAGTACTTTTTCTATAAAGAACAAGTCTAATTTCGTTTAGAAAATAAACGTCGTATAAGAGAATAACGAGAGAACTTTTTATCACATTAATATCGAAGGGCACAGATAATTTAATAAACTGCTTGCTCGAAATCGAATAAATCATTGCTTCTCTCGCGTCTTTATTTAATCGCTTCACTTTACAACAGTTTGTTACTAATTTATTTTAATATATGTAATTAATACGTAATTAATATATAATCGTTTTTAACACATCAATATTTAGGTCAACGCGTGATTCTATAAATGTAATAATCTAATTAATTAACTTATATAATTTACATTCAAATGTCTTGTTAAGTTAATATATCAGCGAGCAATTTAGATATTAGAGATAATTAAATATCATATTTATTTTTCTTTAAAATCGCATAAAACAATAAAGAATGTAAAAGCCCCAAGAAAACTTAAGAAATGATTAAGATAAGATTATTAAGTATGAAAGATTTAATTCACACTCAGATTTATGACATGTTTTATTATTTATTTTTATATCATTAAGATTAATAAATTCAAGATCATCATCATCATTTTTAGCGAAACTATGATTTAATGTATTTCTCGTCATACATCTAGATGTATATCAAAATTAATTGAAAATAAGATACACATCTCAAACATTAATATCATCGACATCTGCAATATTATCTATAGTTCGCGTACGTTGAATTTAAATTTAAAAAATTTAGAAAAACAAATATGATAATAATATTAAGATTATTATTCAACCGTTTTATCTCTGAGTATAAATAGCTTTATCATTGATCGTCCTGCAAGGCGGAAGACTGTGAGATGAAAACACGTACGTGAGAACGGCCTCGCGTCGCAGATGCTGCATTACGCACGATAGCACCTTGTACGATGATGCAACAAGCGGTATAAACTATGAGCATTCGAAAGGAGCCAAGCTCCACACTGAGATCGCAGTGATCTATAATGATCGAGGCCAGTATGGAAATCTTACGTGCACACATACATATATATTCTCCTTGCAAATTAACTTCCGACACACGATCGCGACATATCAACGGATCTTGTTTAAGTCATGGCGGTAACGAGATGGTATTCGCAGATCGAGCACAGGTGCTTCCTATTATATTATTATGTCCAATAGAGAGCCGAGATATATAAAATTGTACTAATATACTAAAGAGTCATTAACTGACATTCGTCCCGTCCGACATTCATTTCAGTAGACGCTGTAATTATACTTTACGTCTCGCATGTTTGCACGTATACGATGTGAAATGTAGCGAGACAAATACAGCTTTATTATTAAGTAAACTATTAAATGTAATAAATAAGACATCACAAGTGTGTCGTTGTAACGTTAGATTTACAGCAATTAAGTTTTATTTTTTTTTTCGATACAATTAAAAAAAATAAAATTGAATTGCTGCAAATGCAATAAAATGGAAGCTTATATTGATTTAAGCTACACACATTTATATTACCTATGGGCAAAAAATATCTAATTGAACGCGTAATAAGAGAAGCTTCAATCGCGCACATAAATACATCGTAATGGCCGCGCCTGTGTCGCAACTGTTTATTTTTACGAATGGTACATGTGCCCCGGGGTACGTGTATGCACGCTGCGCCGAGTGCTTGCATCACCTGTTCGAATACCACTTGTACCTCACCGCATTGACTTTTTCCCCCGATCTCGCTCGTTGTCGCCGCGCGCGAAGCGAAAGAACGGGACATTTTTCACTCGACTTGTCGTTCAAAAGTTGAAACTTTATCTCCAACGATCGGTCGATCGATCGATTGACAGATAGAAAGAAAACATTGTACAATTTTAACGCAATGGAATCGTGTGTTAACGATCGCGGAAACCGCCATTCGCGAGGAGTAAAAAGTGCGCCTTCGCGCTGATTACGAGTACAAATAACACTAACGATCTTCTCGCATGCTTTCCCGCGACTCTTAAATACCGACTTAAATGTCCGCATTAAAGGACGTTGCGATAAATGCGGAGTTTACATTACTAATTGTAAACTAAACGTAACGATATTAGAGATGTTTCGATTATCTTAAATACACAATATAATTTTATATAATTAATATAAAACTATTTGTTTAGAAGTACCTTCGATTTCTGAAATAATTTTGTATATTTCTCATTAATCTCGTACATTTGTACATGTAATTTTCTGTACGTTTACTTTACAGATTCGCGTCAAATACACAAAACAAACGAATTTAATTATCTCGCGATTTTGAATTTCATTCTGGAAATGCGATATTTTCTCACTCTATCTTATAGACGATTCATATTGTTCTACTTATCTATTTATCAAGATAATAGTAAATGCTTGAAATTTTGAACGATTCCTTTCCAAGAAAATGCGAATCGGAAAGAAAGAAGCGACATACCTGTATAAGGTGGGCAAGGAACAGGACGTAGGCGGCGGCCGCCCTCATGTCTCTCCCTGGGGAATCCCTTCGACTACCGCATATCACCGATATCCCCGCGCTGCCCCTCGGCCGCTCCCCCGAGCACTTCCTCGCCGAGGACGTCCTCCGCTGTCCTGTCGCTGGGTGTCGTATCCTTCGTTCTCTTTTTCTCACCACTCTCACCGAATATTATCGATCGGTATTATCGGCACACTGCACACCGAAGATCCTCCCGGTCCGCGCACCAACACCGAATATCCACTGGCCCGTGTCCTCCGCGAAGGGGGACGATTCCTTTTCTCTGTCGCTCCGAGCACTAAACACTTGTCGTCGACACTTTGTAACCGGAGAATTCGCGCGCGTCTAAGGATCCCCGAGTCTTCGGGGAATCCGAGAGCGAGTGGATTCTCGTCAAACGACGCGAGAGGAGGACGAGGTTAGACTCTTCCACCTTTATGAAAGGTAACCTTTCGAATCTCTCAACTCGCGCGATCCTCTTCTCTCTTTCTTTCTTGCGGTCTCTCGCGTATTTTTTTTTCAATTCACTCGCGATTGTCGGCTCTCGCGCGAAACTAATCGCCGCTTTTCTCGGATTCCACAAATCGGAAGTTCACGGTTTATTCGAAGAACATCGGCTCCGAATTCATCGGCGAGGTGAAAGCGACGGCGCGAAAGTTCGACGCGCGATGCTCGACACCTGCTTTTCTCGACTTGAGGCACGAGCCACGACGTCCAACACGTGTTCCACGTACGAGTGACCCGCGATGAGTTCATAGAAATCGATCCCAGAAACGTTAATAGCGCCCAGTCGCTCTCCCTTCCTTCTCGGACGCAAAGTTTACGATTGGATGCGACGCTGCTTCTCGCCGATCGTCACTTTAATCCTTAGACATGTCGTAATGACGTGAAAGCTCGAGTAATTTCACTTATGGATATAACAAGTAGTACGTGTAACAATCCGCCATGCGCGAGTAACGGATGGATAGCTTCGACGCAAAGACAACTTCATGGGATCGAGCACTTGGAAGGCTGAACTTTGTTCATCGTGAAAATCCGTCGCGCGCACCGATTCACTCTTTCACACGCGAATAACCATTTCCAAGTCTTCTCCGGAGATGCAATTTCCTTGAGAATTCGCGTAGGACGAGACGAGTGACACTTTATTCACGCGATGCGTGTCAAGCTCCGCGAATACAGCCGCGTTCCACTGTATCCCTGCCGCCGCGACGAACAGGTGTATGCACGTGTCTGGCGGGAACGTACGTGTGTTTTTTATGTGGACATGCACGTACGCCACTTTGTAGTAACCGGCGCGTCTAAGAATGCCTACGTGTGTGTGCGTGCGTGCGTGTGTGTGTCGTGTATGTGCGCGCGCGCGCTTCTACACTGTATCGTGCGCGCACGCTGGAGCACGGATCGCAGCAAACTTCGCGGAATACACGACTCGGTCGCTCCGGGGATACTGAGTGGAAGCCGCGGGCCGGCCTGCGGGCCTCCCCCCTCCCTCGAGTGCCGCGGCTTGTCCCCCCTCCCCTCCTCCCGCGACTGAGCTATCCCCCACCCCAATCATTCCACCTCCGGGAGCGCGGAGGATCCCCTTACGTTCGTCCCGCGCTGAAATTCGCATCCTCGCGAGGAGAATCCTCTCTTTCTTCAACTCCCGCATCGCGCACATTCTCGCTAGCCGGCCTCGTTCCTTTTCTATCCCTCCCCTCCGTCTCTCTCTTACCCTTTCGCACGTGTACGTGTGCATCGTTGCCCGTGTGTGCGCGTCGCGAACATCTCGAGGGCTCTTTGCTCTCTCTTGCCTTTCTATGAGGCATTACACGACGACGTACACTTGTGCCCCTCGCGCCGGGATGCTGGGGCCCCGAGCTCCGAACACGAACGGCCGAAGCGTATATACGGTTTTCTTACAATCGGTTTCATCACGAGCGGCGAGACGCTTGTGTATTCTCACCTCTTCTCTCTCGCGATCCAGGCGAGAACGCGTGGCTTACGGAGCGTGCACCGACTAGACCCTCGTGATACGAATTTCGCGGGGCACGAGGAGCGTACCGATCCGCAGATTGCATCATCGCTGTATCGCCGAGAGTTATATGAATTTCGTTGATGCTGCGAGGAAAGGACGACTGCACGTCGACTGCGGATCGATGAATGCGATGAATTCTGGCATCGATTTTGATTCATATTCGGATGATTAGTATGCGACTTGATGTTTCTTATCTATAAACAACATGAACAATATAATTATAAATAAATGAATAAATATGTATATATTATTTTTATTTTACGTTTTTTTATTTTTTATTTTACATTGTAAGAAACCCGCTACTCCCAGACATGATATCCGTGATAAGATTGAAATGTGTAAAAACAGAATTATATACAGAATTATATACAGAATTATATACAGAATTATAACAGAATTATATATATGTATATATTACATATTTTAACATGGAAAAAATGTGTTTGTTTCGCGTGGGAGTTACGAGCTTGAGATACCATCAGACTCGTATATATTAATCAATTAATTAATTAAAAACTGGCGAAACATTGTGTATGCGATAATAACGGAATCATGGGAATAAAAGAAGAATTCGTGCCTATATTTAAACTATAAATAGAAAGTAAATGTTAAAGTGAGGCCAAAATTCATATATGTACAATACTCCCTATATCTTATTTTCTTTATATTTCTATAATTATTGCTATCTTAACTGGAATTAAAATTTTTAAATGAAATATAACTCTTCATGGATCCAAAAATAATTATAACTCATGTTTATGATGAGCTATAGGTTTTATTTTCTTATTTACTATTGCAGGTCTAACTGGAGTAGTACTTTCAAATTCCTCTATTGATATTATTTTACATGACACTTATTATGTAGCCCATTTTCATTATATTTTATCAATAGGTGCTGTATTTACTATTATTGCAAGTTTTATTCATTGATTTCTTTTAATTACTGGATTCTCCCTTAGTAACTTCTTATTAAATATTCAATTTATTAGAATATTTATTGGTGTCAACTTAACATTTTTTCCTCAACATTTCTTAGGTTTAAAGGGAATACCGCGACGATATTCTGATTATCAAAATCTACGCTTTATATCAAATATCCTATTTATATCAAAATCTATCTTTATATAAAGAACTTCCACTGACATAAATAATAAAAAATTCTTCAAAGGATTAATCCCTAGTTTCTCGATATTTTGCCCAATTTAAAAAAAAAACTGGAAAGAACCACAAGCAACAGAAACTTGGGTGCAACTCGAGGATTTAGCGACCGAGAGGTCGCTAAATCCTTATTCTTGGCAAATTGGTCATCCCTTTTCATGAAGATAAGAAAGCGTTTAAATGTCGCTAATAATTCTCGTATTTGAGGGCTCGACTATGTGTATCGGAACGAAAGATGAATTCCCGGTAGGCTACTCCGGCTGGTAGAACGAAATTATATGTATTCAGAGAAGAATGAGAGATTTCGGACGATGAATAATGGATAAGTCCTGTCGCGTGTCCACCGTCATTATGAAGCTAGCGGGCCATCTCTCGCTCTTCGAAGAAAGAAAAAAAGAGAAAGAGAGAAGGGGAGAAAGAGAGAGAGATGCCGTCGTCGCGGATCGTCATTGAATTTCTGCCCCATATACACGTACAGTATATACCGTTCCACGTAATTCGCGTGTCGGGAGTATCGTGCGAACTGAGAAGCCGAGTCGAGAGTTAAACGGCTATAAATTATCGTCGCAATGAGAAATCTCCCTTTGCTGATCTCCTTTCAAGAACTACATAATAACGATGCGTGTCAACTTTACATGACGCGGCCTCTGATAATCGGAAAATTATAAACGCGCGGCTCCTGGAGATTGACCATTATTGGTATATGTAACGTTTATCAAAACTGTTACGTTGGGAAATTTGCAAAACGAGTTGCTCGGGAATATTACACCTATGTCATTCGAAACATTTATCATTGGACAGAAGGACGAGACTTCTCTTTTAAACTACCTTTTATGCGTCTATACAAAAGATTAAAGATTGCTTTTCTCATTATTAACTTGCAAAAATTTTTACAAACACAGTTAAACGTATGATATTATTCATAATTTTCAGCATAATTCGATTTAAAAACTGATAAGAAGACTAACATAAGCAGGAATTGTGGGAGAATAAGAAATCGCACTTATTTAAAGCACAAGTAGAAGATAAGTGTTCAAGTATAATGGAGATTTACGCAAACGATAATCGTAGACAAAGATAAAAATTTTTTCTTCAAAGATAAAAAATTTTTTCTAAATGCCAAAATAAAAAGAAACAATAAATATTTGTGTCAAGAAACTTTCGGTAAGCTAATGAGATTAAATTAATGAATATTCGAGGGAGCCTTAATCTTGGAAATAAAATTTCACGACGTTCGCGCCAGTATCAATTCGCACAATCATTACGGCGGTGTGGCTCATCTCGGCTGAAAGAGCCTGTAACGGACGGTGTAGCGCAACGTGGCGGGGTCATGTCTATTCTCTCTTTCTGTTCGGCGGTAGTCTCTCGGATCCGACGACACACACGAACCCGGTGTGGTAGCGTAGCAATATGGTGTACCGTGGTCCACATGGGCGGATGGACATCGGTAGTGGGATGCCGTGCGGTGATGCTGCTTGGTCCGCGTTTACCGTCCTTTTCTTTCTCTCTCTCTTTCTCTCATTCACCGCAATCTCTCTGCTTTCGTCCTTCTCTCCGTCGTCTCGTTTCATCAGCTGTCCTTCGTCTCTCTCTTACCACCTAGCCAAATCGTTCCTCTCGCTCTCGCTGCTTTGTATCTCTCTCTTTCTCTCTCTTTCTCCGTTTCCCTTCTCCTCGTCTCGGAGGACTCGAGGGCCTCGAGTTAGCCGGCAGGCATTATGGTGGCTACTCCGTTGGCTTCTCGCATCTCTCGAAAGCTCACAAGAGAGTGTGCCCCCCCGAGGGTCAAGGAACTCCCTCGGGAACAGGTTCACCTCCTTCTTTGCCTCTCTCCACCCCTCCTTCTCTCTCCTTCCCCCTTTCTCTCGCTGCGCCGCGCAACGCTGCCAACCCGCCCTATGCCCCCTCCGGTTCGTACCTTAGGGTTTTACTTATTTTCTCTTATTACCGCCGTGGGCATGTAGGCACGTCTTTCGCACACATCTGCACGTCCAGCTCGTACGTACACGAGGTACGGTCCACCTCGAGGTCCAGCGGACTCGTCGCCCTCGGTACTCCTCTCAGGTACTCCAATATGTGAGCACATTATTACAGAGGCGCAAGAGGAGCGGAGAAAGACGCGAGCGTCTCGGGGAGTCTTTCGCGAGGGAGCAAAGCGAGGTAAAACGCACACGCGTTCTCCCGATGGATGAGGAAAACGCGCGAGAGAGCGAGCGTACACGCAAGGGTGTTTAGGTGCGGTTCCCTCCCCTCGCGTCCTTCCTCGACTGTACCCGAGGAGCGAGCTCTCTGAGAGCCAGATACCAGATTCCACCTGTGCTGCCTGATATGCTGCCGTTGCTGCCGTGCTCATCCTCCTCTCGTCTCTTCCATGTCTTCTCCGTGTCGTGAGATCGTTTCGAATTTGCTGGATAGCTCGTTCTTTTTTCTCCTCCTTTCCTCTCTTTCTTATTTTTTATTCTTTCTCTCTCCCTCTCTCGCTTTCTTAAGAGCCCGGGCCGCGAGACCGGACCGGGGGATTATGGCGGCCGACGAGAAAACGTGTAGATTTTTGGTACGCGCGTGAATCGACGCGATGCGAGAAATGCGAGGGCTTGTAAGGGCATTTAAGTCCGCGGGTTCTCGCACCTCGCTTTATTCTCGCGATTCTCACACGTTTCGCCAACCCGTTCGTTCGTTAAGAGATCCTCCACCGGTAATTCCAGCACATTCGACGGCTTCCTCGTACACGGCCTCGATCTCTCCCGCGAGAGATCCTTCCGAATTAGCCGGAGCGCTTTTAACAATCCGGCTCAAATGGCACGGAGGATTATGCGGGCCGGTCCATGATCGTGAATATTTTGATGCCGCGGAGACGGTGTCGTGGCGAGAAATGAAAGAGTCATAAAGTCACCTTTTTTGCCCGACCGTTTTCCTTCTTATCAGATTTCGCCGGGGAATCCCTTTCTCGGGTCATTCCAGTTTATCAGGATCGTTCATTAGGTAAAGCGGTATGCGCGCGTTATTATTTATGATATTTATGCATATGTACCACAAGAGCTTCTCGAAGAAATATTTTTGCGGCGGAATCCGCATAGTTTCCGCGCACGTGTCGCCGACAGAATTCTAGGCATATTATTCTCCTTGCCTTCTATTTTCATTATTCATGAATTTACGTTAGCTTTCTGAAGGATCTTTGCGAAAGCAGGAGGTGTAATGGATACGCGACGGGGCGCAAACCGCGCGGAGTGTATATACACGTAGAAAGATTTTAATGATCTTTCTTCAGGCA